GACCCTGTATAGGGTTTCTGAGGAGCAGCTGGTGAGCTTGAACCACTGACCTTGCAGTTCAAATGGCTTTGCAGTCTGGCACATTAACCCACAGCGCCACACCAGGGCTCCTGTCCCTAGATAGTGCTAATCGCTAACACAACTGACTGCTAGCCAAAAGGTTGATAGTTCAAATCCACCCAGCGGCTCCTCAGAAGAAAGTTCTGTTGATCTACTTCCAGCTGCTCCACAGGAGAAAGACGAGACTGCTCCCATCAAGATTTAAAGGCTAGGAAACCCTACACAGTGTCGCTGTGAGTCAGAACTAATAGGAAAACACCACCAGCAGCCACTTCAGGGAAGTCAGCTGTGAAAACCCTGTGGAGTACAGTTATGCTCTGACACACATAGAGCCAAGTTGGAATCAGTTCAACAGCAACTAATTTTGGTTTAAAACAGATGCTAGTGGTCCTAGCTGCATCTTTATCATATCCCAAGTATAACATATGCCAGGTGACATCCGATGTGCCTTACCCCATCATCTGCTACCAGAGCGCTCGCCTCTCAGCTGGGGGGCTGTTGTAAAAGCTGGAGTGTTATGGGGTGGTGGTATCATTTCTAGCTCTGGATCTCTGGTGATTCTGCGCCTATATTTTCATAGGATCAAAGGGTCCCAGCCCGAGGGAGCTGATCCACAAATACCACTGGGTTCTCTGCTGAAGGACAAGGCAGACGAAATCCAGCGTCTACAGAAGGAGTGGCAGAGCCAGAAGGCGAGTTTACAAGCCCAGGTAGGAGGACCCCTGGGAGAGGTGGGGGAGTCAAGACACTTTGTGACACCTTGTTTCCTCCTGGTCCTTATGTACAACTTTGGAGACACAGGGGGCCCTGATCCACATACAAGCTGGGAGAACATTCCAGATCCAGGGCAAAGTGGAATTCTTGTTTGTTTTATTCGTTCTCCCAACACCTTCTGTGGTTCATTGAGCACCTACTATGAGCCAGGAACTTTCCCAGATGTTTGGGGTATATGCATGAACCAAATAGAACAAATTCTTGCATCGTAGGTGCTTATATTTTAACAGTGGACAGTGATGGTTCCATAGTAGAATCCTGGGAAACCAGGGTTCAGTTTCCAACCAGTGTACCTCAAGTGGAGCCACCACCACCCACCAGTCTGCCAGTGGAGGCATGCATGTTGCTATGATGCTAAATGGGTTTCAGCAGAGCTTCCAGACTAAGATGGGTAGTAAGAAAGTTCTGGAGAGGTACTTCCCAAAACTCCGTCCTGGAAACCCTGTAGATCGCAAGGGTCTGATCCTGCTGTACAATGGATCGCCATGAGTTAGGCGTAAACTCAATGGCAGCTAAGAACAACCTATTTTAGTTGAAGAGATCAGAACCAACAATAGGTACTGTTGTTATTAAGTGCCATCGAGTCAGTTCCAACTCATAGCGACCCACAGTACACTTATAGGAAACCATAGTACAGGGTTTTCAAAGGATAGCTGGTAAACTGGAATTCCTGACCTTGTAGTTCAAACCACCTTTGCAACCCAGTGCATTAACCCACAGCGCCACACCAGGACTCCACCATAGGTACTAGACACAAGCGGTAAATAAATTCCATAGACTATTAGGAAGTGATAAGGGCAGAAAAGCAAACAAAAGGCAGAGGGTGGTAAGGGAGACTGGGGGGCTACTAATGGGGGAGTAAAGTGTAGGACTAAGTTAGAGTTGTCAGGCAAAGCTTCCAGAAAAATGTGGGGCTGGAGTTAGCACCTGAAGGAGGTGAGGAAGGCTTCATGTGGCTCTCTGGAAGGTATGATAGTCTTTATAATTTCTCTTGGAAGGTTTATGTCCCAGACTGTCTTCTTCTCTTATCTAATGTTGATGACTCTAGCTGAGATGCCCCAGAGCCTCAGCCCATCCAGTGGCATCACTAGGAGGACCGGGGAGAGGGGTGCAGACCACATCAGTGACACTGTGACTAAATTTTTTGTCTACTAAATTTTTTGCAGTTTCAGCAGAAATTTATTTATTTATTTTATAAAAATATCCCTATCATTAGATATAACAACAAAAACACTTTTCATAAGCACAGATTACATGTATCAGTATACCTACAAGGCTGAAACTCTATTCTAATATATTCTTTGAATCTTCTAACATGTTCTGGTCAGAGCTGTCATTTATGAAATCCTATGATTTTGTCTGCTTATTCAACAAAGCACCCAGTGCTGTTTTCATTGCCACCCGTGTTTTTATAGGTACTGATTTTGTCTAATTTTCTTGTGTTTTAGCTACAGTATTGTGGTAAGTACTATTTGTGAACCTATATGAATAATTTTTTTGAGAATGAAGTGCAGTACTTAAAGGAAAAGAAGGAGAAAAGTCAAAACAAGTCTTCTATTCAGTTATTAATAATGTTGTGACTAATAACGTTGTAAGTCAATGGAAATGTAGTGAGATTTTACAAGTTTCATTGTTAGTGATCGTATAATCCGAGAAATGTCATATTTAGGCATTTTACTACTCTATGTATCACATATTATTGTATGCCGAAAGTTGATAATAACATTAGTAAGGATTCTGCCCGGTCTTGTACTTGAGAAGGTCCACAGGGCCAGAGGAGATGGAACCATGAGCCACCACACTGGTAACACCCTCCCTAGCAACACCACAGAGCAAGTGCCATATTGCCCAAAAAGCAAGATAAGCACGGGTTTACTTGTGCTTACTTACTAATCTGTAGTGAACAAGTTCACATTTTTCAGCAAAGCCTGACTTTAAGTGGGCTGGCATCTCTCTCCCAACACCACAACACCTTCCCACAGAATCAAAGCCTTTTTTCACATTTAAAATCCCTGACAGCGATGGCGTACCCAGCCAGCAAGGTGAGCACATGCTTAGGTATGCTTAAACCAGAATAAAAACAAACCGACTACCTTCGATTCGGTTCTACTTCATAGAGACCCAGTAGAGAATTTCCGAGGCTTGTGGAGAAGCAGGTAGGTTTGATCTGCAGCAGTCTAGTGCTTACTTACGAATAAACCTGTAGTGAGCAGTTGCCAGTGAGGTGAAAGGCAGGTGACTCTGCCCACTACAGATTCGTAAAGCTAATGCTAACCTGCCTTGTTAGGTACTTGGTCCCGACACTGAGCCTTTTCCCAGGTTCTTCAAGTTTGTGAGCTTGCCATCTGCCGGTGGGGTGTCCTTTAGAAAGGTTGTTGTTGTTAAGTGTCATGGAGTAGGTTCCAACTCAGCGACCCTGTATAGGGTTTCCAGGAGTGGCTGATGGGTTTGAACCTCCCGCTTTGTCCTTGCGGTCCCGCGCTTATCCTACGGCGCCACACTGACCCCTGGCGGCGTGAGCGTGCGGCCTGAGGGTGCACCCTGGTTGCAGGTCTCGCAGCTGCAGCAGATTCTGGAGCAGTGCACCAGCTCTTACCGCCAGGACCTGCAGGAGCTCCGACAGCTCTCTGAGCACGAAAGGGAGAGGCTGCAGCGCGAGCTGGGAGAGAGCGCTCAGCAGAGCCAGAACCTGAAGGCCCAGCTGGAGGCATCCCACCAGCGAGCCCTAAGGGTGCTGGAGAAGGCCAAAAACCAAGAACTCAAGGTAAGGACGATGAGTCAGTGTTCTAGGGTACCAGGGTTGCCGTGGGTGACTCAGTGCCAGAATTCTCCCCTTCCTCTCAGAGACCTGGGTTCGGTTCCCGGCCAATGCACCTCGTGCACAGCTAACTGCTGCTCACCTATCAGTGGAGGTTTGCGTGTGGCGCTGTAGGATAAGCACCGGACCGCAAGGTCGATTCAAACAGTAAGGTCAGAGATTCAAATTCACCATCTGTTCCTTGGAGACCCTACACTGACTGGGTCACTATGAGTTGGAACTGCCTCTGTGAGCACTTTACAACATGATACTGAACAAGTTTCAGCGGAGCTTGCACACAAAGACTAGGAAGAAAGGGCTGGCGATCTACTTATGAAAATCAATGAATGAAAACCCTTCATGTGGACGGCACAGGGGCTCCTTCCAGTGTGCGTGAGTCAGGGGCTGGCTTGGTGCTGGTTAACAACAACCATAACAAAACACAACAAAGTGGGC